TACTAAGTTTAAAATCAGTATTGGGGCTTCCCTAGTGCCGCAGTGGTTAAGAATCTGCCTGCCAATGCAGGGGACACGGATTCGAGCCCTGGTCCGGGAGGATCCCACATGCCGCGGAGCAACAAAGCCCATGCGCCATAACTACTGAGCCCGCATGCCACAACTACTGAGGCCCCTGTGACTAGAGCCTGTGCTCTGCAACAAGAGAAGCCACTGCAATAAGGAGCCCGCACACTGCAACAAAGAGCAGCCACTGCTCACCACAACTAGAGAAAGCCTGCGCACAGCAACAAAGACTCAATGCAGACAAAAATAAATAAATAAAATAAATAAAACATTTTAAAAAAAGATGAAGTTTTAAAAAACTAATAAAAAATAAAATAAAATCAGTATTGGCAGATGACAAATAAGCACATGAAAAGATGCTCAACATCATTAGCTACCAGGGAAATTCAAATTGAAACCACCATGAGATGCCACTACATACCTTTCAGAATGGCTAAAATGAAAAAGACTGACCGTCTCCATTGTTGGTAAGGGTGTGGAGGGACCAGAACCCTCAACTGCCGCTGGTGGGAATGTAAAATGATAAATCCACTTTGGAAAATGGTCGGGCAGTTTAAGTTAAACATATACCTACCATATGATCCAGCCACTCTGCTCCTACACATTTGCCAAGATAAAAGGAGATATATGTCCATACAACGACTTGTACAGAGGTTCACAGCAGCTTTATTTAGAATCACCAAAAACTGGAAACAACTAAAATGACCAACAGGTGAAGAGATAAACAAATTGTGGAATATCCACTAATGGAATATTACTCAGCAATAAAAAGAACTATTCATACATGCAACATAGACAAACCTCAAAATAATTATGCTGAGTGAATGAAGCCAGACAAAAAAGGAGTACATACTATATGATTCCACTTAGGTAAAATTCTAGAAAATGCAAATTAATCTATAGTAACAGAAAGCAGTTCAGTGGTTACTTGGAGATGGTAAAGGCAGAGAGGGGTGGGAGGCAGGGATTACCAAGGGGCACAAGGACACTTTTGGATAATCACTATCTTAATTGTGGTCATGGTTTCACAAGTGCATGCATATTTCAAAATATAAATTGTACACTTTAAATATGTGCAATTTATTATGTCAAAAACACCTCAGTAAAGCTGTGTGAAAAAATAAGATAAAACAGTATAGGAATGTTTAAGAAAATTTAAGAGTCAGTTTAATTTATTAGTTAAACAGGAATATTTAAGTATTAAAGATTTGGTAATCAGACAATTTCAAGTATTATTAAAGGAAGTTGAATGTAATTCATAAACTCAATTTAAAATTTTCAAATGAGTTAAGATTGCAAATGGATCAAGTATTAACCCAAAGACCCCTTAAAGTGATTATTAAAATTTTCTAGAATCATAAGTAGAACAGAAAGATTTGTAGCCTACACTTAAAAGCTAAATGTAAAAGACTGGCCCTTAAAGGAAGAATGAGATTTTTGAGTTTGTAACTTGAACAAACTGAAAATCAATTTGTATAATCAAAGTAACTTCTGAATAATCTTTGCATTACACAAAAACCCGGGGGCGGGGGGGGATGATTAAAAAATCTCACTCAAGCATGCTACTCACCAGTCACCCAAAACTCACCAAGTCACTTGGTCTCACCGAACTTCAGTTTCCTCATTCACGAGAGGAATGTTTTCCAGAATAATCCACTTATTATAAATGATTTAATATTAATCAATTTCATATTGATAAAGAGCACATTAGTAAAAGCACTGGGAAAAGCATACAGCGATGGGCAAATAGAAAAGATCAGCAGCATGATATCACTCTATAGTAACTGCAGCCTTTCCCAGATCCTGGGCTGACCAGTGACAGACATGCGAAAGGTGACACACGTATCCTCAGAGACTAAGCATGACTCAGCACAGCCAGATCATGGAATTTTCCCGAGGCCTCAGCCAGAGAGGAGCTGCCACATGTGGAGTCTGGCCCACAGCTGGTGGAAATGTACCTAGAGCTGCCTTGGATATCCGATATCCCAGCACCACCGCCAAACGCCCCCCGCCCCACAGGCAAATCAGGGTAAGGAGGTGAGGAAGAGCAGCAATGAGGGGGTGTTGAGATGACCCAGGGTTATGCCTTCTGGAATAATACTTAAAAAAGAAAAAAAGGCCCACATCTACCTCCCTCCAGGATCACCAAGGCGACCAAAAGGAGGAGGACAGGGGAAGGCGAGAACCTTCAATGGCAGAGTCTTAGTTACAGTGACTAAGCAAAGCTCCATGGACTCAGGAGGGAAGTAGGGACTGAAAAGCCAAACAAGCTTTAACAAATTAGATGACCTGGCAGAAGAAGGCCCTTCCTGGCGACTAATTTTCCCTTCCTACTGATGGATTTGGGGAAGACATGCAAGAAAAGATGACACTCTGGAAAAAAAAAAAAAAAAAAGGAGGGGTGTCGGAATCTTGGATTCTGCTAATTAGCCTTCTCTGGGCCCCAATTTCTCAGCTCCGTAAGCTGAGAAGTTGGGACTGTCACCAAACTGCCTCTCTTCTCCTCACAGGGATGCCAGTAAGAGCAACAACATTCAACTCTATCAGCTAAGACGGGAGACCGACAGCAAGCAGAGAGAACAGTGGGAAGTTTGTAGAGGGTGGAGTCCGTCACAGGTCCGGAGGCATTTCCACTCATACCACCTGCCTTTACACTCCGCCCACTTTTCCAAGCAAACTCCATCTCAGAGTGGAAAACGGCCACTCCTGGCCCAAGACCTAGGACACGTGAGGACTGTGGAAAAATCTCAGGACGGAGAACAGCTTATGGGTTCTGAAGGATCATATGAAAAAAGTCCCCGGACAAAGGAATCTCCACACTGAGCACTGAACCTGAGCTCTGGGCAAAGCTGCCCCTGAGCCACTAAGTTCCCAGGGCACCTAACTGTGAAACAGGGGGTAGCGGCTGGCCTGCCTCTGGACGAAGGGAAGAGCATATCAATGTCTGAAATGCAGGCGGGATGCTACACAGAGCCAGGACCGTGCCCGGCTAGGGCCCTCTCACAGACCACCAGGTGGACCCCGGACCCGAGGGCCTTGGAATTTAGGCTGCGGAGATGCACCGGGATCAATGCAATCAGTGGAGCTTCCTGTGTGAGGGGAAACCTGAAGAGCAGGAGGTTATACAGGGCCGTGCTGCCACACAGAGCACTATGTGGGGGGAAGGAGGGGCAAGTCCACCTTCACCCCCTCATCGTTGTCTGGACACATGTGTCAAGTGCTTTTACAGCCAGCTGACAGAGCCACCTCCTGTGCCCAGCTGCCTGCTCTCCACATGGACTCAAGGGCTCTTCTCAGAGGCTGCCCAGCCCTACAGATGCTTCCTTCCTGTGGTCCTGAGGAGCCTCGCCACTCTCCCCCACCACCAGGCATCCCAAGCCACACCCTTCCAGAAGTAAGGCCTCCTGCTGAGGCTGGCCAGCAGCCAACTGGGGCCAGCAGGGAGCCAGACATCACTTTCCTGTGAAAACCAAGAAAACCAAGAGAGTCTGGAACAGACAAAGACTGCATATATTTTCCAAAACTCAGAGCTTGGCCTTTTTTATTTATTGAGCTTGATCACTGATGTGCGAGGACTGCTAACATCTACAGCTGCTGCTCCCACAGGCATCCCACTGACCTGGATCCAGGCACAGGACTTACCCTCAAGTGTATTGTCAGCTCTCAGGAGGCAGGGGTTATCTAAATAAAAGAAAAAGAAAGTGTTACCCTCGTTTCTCTCCCAGCACTCCCCAGAGAAGCCAGGCATAGCAGGAACACAGACTTAAAACCCAGAGAAGAACTGCTGCTTTGCCTTCCCCTGATCTCAAGGGTATCTGGGGGGCCACTAGGACAGCACAGGGCTGAGAGCAACCCAGCTCTGTCGTCCAACTACCTGGGCTCTATTCTTGCTGCTTTGCCACCCGCTCCCAGAACCACTCAAAGCTTGTTTCCTCATCTGTGAAATGGGAGTAACACCGCCACCCAGGGAGGAGGGCTCCCGAGGAGGTACACACTCAAAGCACTGGCACCGTGCCTGGTATAGAGGACGCGCTCAGACGTTGGCCGACGTGCCTAATAAGAAGCATTTAAGTAAAACCTTTTTCTGGCACCCACTACACAAGAACAAGTTCTAGAAACTTTTCTTGTTTGATCTGAAGTGCCTGGTCTTCCTGCCCATTCCCATCCAACCTCAGGCCAATTTTTGAGCCACCTCCAATCCTTCAGGACCTAACTCACCTCCGGATTCTCTGAGCCTGGTTCCTGTCTCACTCTGCAACTGGACACAAATGAAGAAGCTGATGTGTTTCCTATTTCGCCGGCTGTCCTCAGATCCCTTCCTGCAGAGACCGCCGCCCCACACACAAAGAGCACGCCTGTGTTTGGACCCATGGAAGCCCAGTTGGTGGTGCGTGACCACTTTCTAGAGTTTACAGACTGCTTGTTTTTGAAAGGCCACACCTGTCCGTTAGCTTTAGCCACCGGTCAGTAAAGAGCAAAATGGAGACACAGGCCAGCAAACCATCAAATGAACTAAGTCCATGTTCCAAGAAAACGAGTTGCCTTGGTAGATTATGTCAAGGCTGAAAATGAATGTTTGGGGCATTCAATTCAATAAAATACGTCTTGAGCACATACCCTGCATAGGGCACCATTGTTGGGGGCTAGCTAGTAGAGGTAAGAACAGGATAGTACGTGAGAGGGACCCGAGCGTGTACTCTGAGCCTGACAGCTTGGGGAGGACCCTAGCCGTGCCCTTTCCTAGCTGTGTGACTCTGAGGGAGTTATTTCACTCACAGTTCCTCATCTGTAAACAAGGAGCTAACTGTACTTTTGTTGTAGGGTTGTTGTGATAATCAAATAATACATAAAAGGGGCTTAGCAAGGTCCCTGCCACCACACAGTAAGAGCTCAACAAAGGATGACTTTTATTATTAATAACAATCAATCATTATTTATCATCATTATTATTAAAAGAGAGAACCCACGTCCAGCTCAATAGATCCAGCAAGGCTTATTGCAGGAAAGCCTGAAGAGTAATTTCGACAGGACGAGAGAAGAGGAAAAGTCCTGCAGAGTCAAGATCGTCAGGAACAAGATCAGAAGAAGGACACAAAGAAGTGAGTTTCGGGGTAACAGCCAGTAGTCTCAGATGAGGCTGAGGCAGAAGAGGGTACCTGTGGGGTCAAAGAGAAGAAAAAGCCCAACAGGTGGGAGCCTATCTTTTCATTCAGTAAGAAAGAGGAAACGGTTTCCTCTTTTCGTCACTGTCCCAGCTTCCACTGTCAGGCCCTACTCCTTTGACAGTTTGGCAAAGTATCCACAGCTGAGACAAGAGGCAGCTAAGACACAGAGGGAAGGGAAGAGATGGTCAGGCAGGCCCAGGTGAGGCTTCAGAGAGAGCAGGCAAATGCCCCACTTCTGTGAACGATGTGTCTGGAAGAGAAACTTGCCCCCAAACAGGCACACCTTCTGGATGGGGGGAGGAGGGCCCTGTTCAGAACACAGTAAGATGCTACTGGGAGGGAGCCAGAGAGAAGGCCCACACTAGTCCTCACGGGGAATGTTTACCGGCCTGAGGTCTCCAGCTCACGCGGGAAAGTGCCAGGGAGAGATCTGCACAGTCTGGGGCCTGCCCAGGCCTTCCGCCCAGATCCTCTGACATATGACAATCATCCCTGCAGCCCCTGAATGTGCTGTGACTTGGAATGAGACCTGGATCTGCAGTCCTGCTGTGCCCCAGTGCCCCACGCCTCTGCAAACAGTGTCAGGACAGGGACCTAGCACAGCACCCAGGGCACTGGAAGTGAGACAAAGGGAAAACAAGGCAGAGGATTTAAAAAAAAAAAAAGATAAGCCACCTGTACTAGCACCTCAAAGGCAGGAGGGATCCACCGGGGTTACAACATCAAGGCAAACCCCTCTGAGGGATGATCTTGGAGGTGAGAACTGGCACGGAGACAGTCAGTCAAGCTGGGACAGGCTTCAGTAGAGAAAGATAAAGAGATAAGGAGCAGAGGGGACTTCGGGGTAAACTGTAGAAATTCTGAATGGCAGCCTAATTCAATTCAACCAATAGGTACCGCGCAGCTATAGTGAACAAAGCCCTTTTCTGCAGGGCAGAGCAGCCACTAAGAAACTTCTCACAAGGACACGTGCTCATAGGTTGCTTACTAGAACACAAACAGAACAGACTGTAGCTCAGGCCCGCTGCTGCTGGGCCCTCAGAGCCCAACCAAGCACCCCGGCGCCTCTGGACCCAATCTCACTTCTGACTCACCCGCACCTTAGCAAGTGCCCTCACCTTATAAACGCCTCCTGCAGAGGCCTCTGCGAGATGACCAACCAAACTTCTCACACTCAACTGGGAAGTGCTATCTCCTCCACGTTCTCCTTCCACCTTCCTCAGCCTTCCTCTGCCAGGGTCCAGTTACTTAAAACTCACCTGTACTTCATCATAAAACCTTGGCTGCTCAAATCCAATCACTGCTTCTTGACTGCTGGCCGCCGTGGAATCAAGAGGCTCACAACTCAGGCTTCCCTGGTGGCGCTATCGCAATGGTTAAGAATCCACCTGGTAATGTAGGGCACACAGGTTCGAGCCCTGGTCCGGGAAGATCTCACATGCCACGGAGCAGCTAAGTCTGTGTGGCACAACTATTGAGCCTGCGCTACAGAGCCCGTGAGCCACAACTACTGAGGCCTGTGCACCTAGAGCCTGTGCACCACAACAAGAGAAGCCACCACCATGAGAAGCCCGCGCACCGCAACGAAGAGTTGCCCACGCTCGCCGCAACTAGAGGAAGCCCACACGCAGCAACGAAGACCCAACGCAGCCAAAAATAAAATAATTTATAGAAAAAAAAAAAAAGGAAGCTCCCAACTCGCCTCCTCCACCAAGCCTTCCCTAATCCATGCCCATCCAGCCCCAGCCAGTCCAGTTCTCCTGTCCCTGGCCTTGGTGTGAGTTTTGCCCTGATTTGCCGGCCTCTACGGAACTTCCTCTTCCACGTCCTCCTCTGGCCATACCTCGCCCACACCAGCTCTCTACAAACATCTGCGGCATGCCGACTTTCTGCTTACGCTCTGTTTCTTTTTCTCTCCCCCAACCAGTTTGTTGGCAGTTCTGGGGCACCTTGTCTCCCACGTCTTCGCGCAGCACCCAGTCTAGGGCTCTGAACATGACAGGTGTGCAAAGAATGTGATGAAGAGTTCAAGGGTTTAGATGAAGAGCAGGCAAGCAGAAAAGCTGTAGCTGCGAGGGCATCGAAATGCTGAGCACATCCACTCCAGTATTTGCATCACAGGCAAGGGAAGGGTGGGGGGGTGGGGAGGCCAAGGCTGCTGGTAGCAGTGGGTAAGGGAGCAACGGGAAGGCAAAGACTTCTTGGTAAAGACTGGGGAGGCTCTGGTTATGATCTAGCAAATAGCAGCACCTCTCTGAGCCTCAGTTTTCTCAGCTACAGAACGGGGATCCCTGGCCTCCTCTTTATCACAAAATGAATTTTAATCAGATTTTTAAGAATTTCAAAGCTCCCAGGGACCTAGAGACCTGACCTAGCCCCGGCACTTGTGTAATGAGGAAAAGGATAGCCAGAGGTAAAACAACTCGCTCCAAGTACACAAAGCAAGATGTGCTGGGAGGAACGTGTATGGCAGGTCCTCAAAGCCAGGGCTTCAGACTGCGTGCCCAGGAGGGCATTTCCCGGAGGGCCAGCTGCTACTCACTGCACTTTGTAAACTGCTAAAAGCTGTAGAAATAACGGGCTGAGCCCAGCCCCACCTCCTCCTAATCACTGCTTCTGGGCGCCCCAAGCTTCCTCTTCTGAAACTAAGTGGAATTACAAGAATGCCCCCCAGGGTTACCAGGAGGATCCTATGGGAAGCAGAGTGCAGGCACTCGTAACACGGAAAACCCTCGCCTTACACACCATGGCTGTCTTCAGAGCTGAGCAACTTCCAGTATGGTGGGGGACACTTGGGCTCCGGATTCTGACAGACTTGGGTTCGAGCCCTCAGGGACCTCGCGCGAGGCATTTGAGGGCTCCGTGCCCTCAGGTTCTCCATCTGCAAAATGGGCCCGAGAGCAGGAATAAGGCCGCCGGCGGCCCCCGGGGAGCCGAGTGGACGAGGCCGGGCTGCGCCAACGCGGGAAGGATGCTCGCGGGGCGGCGGGCCCGGAGAACTGGGGCGACGGGTCCCCAGGGCGGGGGTGGGGGGGCGGGCTCGCGCAAACAGTCCCTCGCGGGAGGGGGAGGGGAGGGGAGGGGCGGCGCGCGGCGCAGCGCGTCGCGCACCGCCCGCTGCCGTCTCCTCCAGCCGTCACTCGTGGAGCTGGCGCCGCCTTGGCGCGCGCGACCCTTACATAAGCGTCCCCCGCGGCAGCGCCGGCGCACGCCCACCCGCTCCGACCCGCTGCGGGAAGAGGAAAATGCACAGCGCCGCCGGCACTCACCTCCTCGCTGCTGCCGCAAGTTGCCGCCACCGCCTCTACCGCCGCTGCCTCCACTGACAGGGAACAGCTGCGGTCTCCGCGCAACCGAACTTGCTGCGGTCCCAGTCCCGCCTTACGGAGTTCCTATTGGCTCAGACAGCCCAACCCCTCCTGTTACTGGACAGCCCCCTCTGTCACTCACCGTTCCCCTGCCCGGGACTCCTCCCTACGCCCCCCTGCCCGTCACGTTTAAGCCTTGGCGCCCCACATCAGCCCCGCCCCTCCCGTCCCCGGCAGGCCCCTGGATTGGTGACGAGGCTGGGGGAGCCCGCCCCTGGCTCACCACCACCTACTCCCTGGTCTCCAGAGCCCCACGTGGGCCGCAAGGCCCCAGACGCGGCCCGCAATAGGCGGAAGTGGCCAGGCTCTGACAGGCTGTGATTGGCTGTTGGCGGGGGTGGGGACGTGCGATTCATTCACCCGGGTAGCACGTGTCTCTCAAAACCCCAAGCACAACAGATAGCCCTCGGGCTCAGGGATCCGGGTGGGCTCAGGAATCCGGGTAGACTCAGGTGCACGCTAGTGGGTGGAGGAGAGGTCGGAGGAAAAAGGGTTTGCAAAGGGCAGGAAGAAGGAAATGGCGCTTGTGCCAGACGGGTTTACGTGATTGTCTTTTAGCAGCTGTGGGGGTGATGGTGACGGGCAGGAGTCTCCGTGTGACCCTGGACAAGCAACCTCACCTCTCTGAGCCTCAGTTTCCTAATCTGTAAATAGAGGCCACTCAGGACCTAGAGGGTTTAGAAGGCTTGGTTGAATGGAAAGCTTCAAAAATTGGGCTCTGTGCCAACCAGGAGATGCAGGAGTGACCAAAATAAACCAATATTTCTGCCTCCCAGTGAGAGAAGAAAGACGATAAAATAAAATATAAGGTACATCAGATGATAATCAAGGCATGGAGAAAAAATAACCTGCTTCTAGACAGTTGGGAGAATCAAGAACTATGAGAACATCTTTTTAACTAAAATTTGATGATTGAGTATGGAGAGATATTACAACTGCATTCTCTTCTCTGTGTTGTGTCCATTTTGTTTGTCCTTTGGACAAATTTCTTTGTCCTTCCTTCCACATATCTGGCTGAACTCCAACCTGGGTCAGTCCAACACAGCTATTTTAGTACCAGAACAAGGATTAAAATTCCAGTTTTCCAGATTCAGGTATTCATTCAATTAACAAGCATCCCTTGAGCACCTACTATGGGCCTGGTGCTATGCTGGAGACGCACGTGAAAAAATACAGCCTCTACCATCACATCATAGAGCTCACCTGACCACAGTTCTTGCCCTGGACAGGTCTCAGTAATAATGATCGTAAGGGAACAAACACTGTTATCAGGCAAGAGAAGGAACAATAGCAAAGATAATAAATCAGTTGTAAACTTTCAGTTCTGTTTCAATGATAAAGATTGGCCTGAAGCACTTTCTTGAGCTATTTTGCGGAACTTAACACCTTCCCCCACCAAGGTTCTCAACCACCAGGTCCACTGGAACCTAACTGTCAACCTTTGCCCCAATTCTATGCTGCGTCCTCCTCCGCTCAAGCCCCTTCATGAACATGCATATACCTTTAGCTTAAAACCTCCCCAATTTTGCTGTTTGGGGAGACACTGCTTTGGAAAAAATCCCCGGTGTTCTCCTTACTTGCTGCAAGTAATAAATCCTTCCTTCTCCTGATCTCTGGCTTGGTTGTATCTTTTGGCTCAACACCCACCAAGAGGTGAACCCAGTTTTCGGGGAACATCAGCTGAGTCCTGGCTGGTCCCTGTGAAATCCTGAGTCTGGAGCAGAGGGCAGGTGGCTCCACGCAGGTTCAGGTGAATCCCATATCAACACCACCAGGTGGAGGTCTGAACACAGAAACTAATTGAGAACTAAAAGATGGACTGCTGTGAACAAAAGTAGTATGGATTTTGGACAATTAGCTCAGCCACATAAATTAGTTGAAGTTTGGCTAGGAAACAAGACATCTCTCCATCCAGGCTCTGTCCTACCTCCAGGCTGAGTCCTCCAGGAGGACAAAGCTGGGAGGGGTATTCCACCCCAGACAGAGAAAACTGCCCAAGAAAAAGCTGAGGTGAGGAGTCCAGTGTGGCTAGAAAAGGCATTTCTCAGCGTGGGCTTCTGTAATACTAGTGACAGGATCTCCTTGGGACAAGGTACTGATTGGAAACACAGATTCTTGAGCCCCACTCCTCCCCCATGGTTCTTATACATATGAACCACCAACTCAGAGGTCTTAGAATCATCAGCAGAATGCCACTTAAGTCTGTCTCTGGCGAGTGGAACCCCCTGCATTGCATTGCAAGTTTTAGAAGCTCTCCAAATTTTTCTAATGTGGGTCAGCGTTGAGACCCACTGAGATTCCTAGAGAAGTTATTACCCAGACTTCCCTGATAAGAGGAATCCCCTGGGACTCTTTAAAAACAAAATGGATTCCCGGACCTCAGGCCCCTGTGGATCCTGATTCATGGGGTGGGGCCCAGGAATCTTTCTATTTAATTAATTTATTTTTTAAACAGGCCCCAACTTGTGAAATTGACTCTTGAGGCCCGGGAAGGTTGGGGAACGTGGCTGAGTTTCTGGCAGATGCAAGGGAAGGGGAGGCAGGACAGACAGGCTGAGACCAGCCTGTGGAGGGCCAGCCAGGAAAGGCATAGGCTGGGCAGCAGGGCTCTGTCGGGAGGGAGTGGGCCAGGGGCAGCTGCAGAGCAGCTCAGGGCTCCTGTTAGGCTGGGAGTATGTCTGCCTTATTGCTTCTTAGTAGCTGTCACTTTTTGGAGAGTTCTTGGTTTTTGTCTGTTTATCTTCTGTACTCCTGTCCCTTCCCCACACTTGAACATCACCTCTACAAAAGTTGAGTTTGGCACATGGTAGATGCTTAATATATAGTTGGCAAATGAAGGAATGGGAGTCATCAGCCCACACTTAGTGGTCGAAGCTATGGAGTGGATGGGACTGCCCCAGAAGCTGAGCCGAGTCCGATAGGGAGAGGAGTCTGCAGGGTACCACATTTAAGGGGAAGGGGAAAGTTAAGGAGAAGCAGGCACGATCGATCGGATAGGAAGGAGTAAATTCGGAGGAGGGAGGTGTCAACTGGGCCAGGAAGGAAAATGGGGTGGTGGGGACAGATGTGATCCCTTCACTCTGCAGCCCCCTCAGCAGCACCCAATAGAGATACGGTGAAAATGAGGTATTTTCCCCATCCCCAAGCTGCTCCCAGACCAGTGAGGGCACACAGACCTCAAAGCACTCCACTTCAAAACAGTGTGGTGCTGTGCTAGAGATAATGGCCAGAGTGCTATGGGAGTCCAAGGAGGGGTCCCTTTCCCCATGAGAGGGGACTTGGAGGGCTTCCTGGAGGAGGGAAAGTCGATAGATAGATAGATACATACATATATACATACATACATGCATAAATCAAGAGTTAATCAGGTAAATATATTGGTAAAAATGGATCCTATACATGGCCCAAGCAAAGCTGGGGGAGGGCATCAGGGGGTCAAGGCATGGAGAGGGTCAGTGAGGACAGATTGCTAGTAAGTTCAGGAAGTGCAGCCTGAGAGGGAGCTGTGGGGAAGGCCAAGAGCAGTTGGCGCTGAGAAGGCTTGGGTAAGCAGAAGCATCTGAGTGGATGGGGACTCACAGACAAAGCCATGAACCCTCATACTGTAGCAGTCACTATAAACCCAGAAACAGCCCACCACTCTTGTGTTTACAATTTGGAAGGCCAGGTTTGCCCTGAGGATCTCACAAGGACAACCTAGATTTCCCAGAACCCCTGTCCTGAGATGACACAAGAAAAATCACTTTTTTTTTTAATTAACAAAATTCTGGCAGTTCGAGCTGAGCCGCAGATAGCCTAACTGCTGGTGAGACCTCAGGATAAACCCTTATTGATGGAAACACAGGGCAGGGCACTAGGCTGTGATGAACGCACCCACTCACTGACTGAAGAATGGCCACGACAGCCCTTCTCTGTAGGCTGGGGTTGTGTCTCCATTCTAAGCAGCAGGGGACCCTCACGGTGTGTGATGGGGGGGGGGATGGTTCAGGAGTAGCTCTTCTGCTCTTTTTGATATGTTTCCCTCCCCCCACATCCTCGAGGGGTCCAGGCCACTCCACCCAGTCTTTTGGGGTGACTCCTCCATACACAAGCCCATCCCATCATGGCATCTCTACAAGTCGGTCAGACCTTCCACCTGCCAAGGTGGGCATTGGTCTAGCAGATCACAGTCTCAGCACGTCTCCAGGTCCATATCAAGGCCTCTGCCCACAGGTTGAGGCAGAGGAGGGTAAGATCCTCCTCCCAGCTCTGAGCTATAGCTCCTCTGGACCTCCCAACATCCCTGGGCAGGTATGCTGTACCCATTTTGCAGGTGTGGACACTGAGGCTCAGAGAAAGGAAATGACTTCCTCTCTGGATCACATAGCTAGTCAGGGGCAGAGCTGGAACTGGACCTCCAGTCCACTGACCCCCCCCCAGGCTGTGCTCTTTCTGCTCCACTGGCCACCTTGTTGTGAAAGAGAAGACAAGAATGTTTAGAATTCAGATTTCAAAGGAAGAGCTTTGGTTTGAAATTTGAGTCCTAAGATCACAGTCCTCAGAGGTGGAAGGGCCTTGAGCAAATTGTTTCCAAGATTTCCCACAAAAGACAGATCTCCTGGGATGTGATTGTGCAGACAGCTTTTCAGGGCCCTGCCCAGACCTGTATATGCAAGGGGTTTTGATGGGGCCCAGTGACTGGTGTTTTTTTAACAAAGGAAACCTTGGGGCACCCTGGCTAGACCCGCTCAGGCCCATTTTACCGATGAGGTAATAGGCTCAGACAGGAGAAGGGGCAGACCCACCACTGATAGTCATCAGGTCCTGCATATTTGAAAAAAATGCAAGAGCATCTGCGTTGCCAGTTCTGGGACCCTGCAATTACTGATACACGCTTTGTCTAAACTGAGAACAATCCTCCCCCGATTCCTCAGAGTGCTATCAGGACTGAATACAGGAAGCCCTAAGCACAACGCCTGGCACAGCCTGAGTGCTCAGAACGTGGGAGCTCTTACAATCAACAGCATTATTACTATTTATTGTTCCCTTTGTTTGATTTCTCCAAGTGATAAGTTGACCAGAATCTCTTGCTGAACCTGACAGCCTGGCATTCTAGCTTCCTTTGGGAAATGAAAACCAAAACAATGGATCATTGTTCTGAAGTAAAAGAACTAGTTCTGGGCTTCCCTGGTGGCGCAGTGGTTGAGAGTCCGCCTGCTGATGCAGGGGACACGGGTTCGTGCCCCGGTCCGGGAAGATCCCACATGCCTCAGAGCGGCTGGGACTGTGAGCCATGGCCGCTGAGCCTGCGCGTCCACAGCCTGCGCGTCCGGAGCCTGTGCTCCGCAACAGGAGAGGCCACAACAGTGAGAGGCCCGCATACAGCAAAAAAAAAAAAAAAAAAGAACTAGTTCCCCCAAAATGTACTGTATTATAAGAGCTGCTCAGGCAAAGAGATAAATTATTAGTTGAAACACACACACATGAGCCCCTTGCCTCATTGATGGTGGGCATATCATATTTTCAAGGAAAACTCTAGTGGCATTAACCTTAAGCTAATGGTTCTGTCTGACCATCGTGTAGGGTGCATGAAGACCGGGGTGAGGAGTGGGGTCTGGGGGTGGAACACTCATTTGCTGAGGACTCTGTTTGCTGGCCTGACTCTGTGGGGCTGCATTCAAGGCCCACTACTGACTGTGTCTCCTTGGGCAAGTTGCTTCACCCCTCTGAGCTTCTGTTATTTCATCTGAAAAATGGGGCTAAGCTCCAGAGAGTGTGAGGGTGAAATGCAATCACAGAGGTAAGGCTCCTGGAGTGGAGGGCACACCCCATCCCCCTTGTCTCCCAAGCTCAGATTCCTCTTCCAGGCTCTGGAAGGAAGAGCAGGCTTCAGTCTACCTTTCCAGATTTTTCTCCCACCCAAGGGCAACCCTTTGTGTTCCCAGGCTTTGGTCACCCACAGGATCCTACCTCTATCTCTACTGCAACAGTCCTCCCTGCCCTCAATGCTGGGCTCCAACACCACCTCCTCCAGGGAGCCTGCCCAGATGCTAACCACCTCCAAGACAGATGGGGGTCTCCCGTTCTCTTCCGTGCAGCCTCAGCACTTGGTGTCTGTTTTAAGGTGCCTTGCTTGATGTACATGAGAATCCCTCCTTTTCTGGGGGTGGAGATTCTATCCTGCTCCCCTTGGCCTCACTTCTAGCCTAGACATCATCAAAACAAGATCTTGCCCACAGTGTGTAGGTGTGGATTAATTTCATTGGCTCACTAATAAAAAGTAACATCTGGGGCTTCCCTGGTGGAGCAGTGGTTAAGAATCCGCCTGCCAATGTAGGGCACAGAGGTTCAAGCCCTGGTCCGGGAAGATCCCACATGCCGCGGAGCAGCTAAGCCCGTGCGCCACAACTACTAAGCAGCCACCGCAGTGAGAAGCCCGTGCACCGCAACGAAGAGGAGCCCCCGCTCGCCACAAAAGAGAAAGCCCGCACGCAGCAACGGAGACCCAATGCAGCCATATATAAATAAATGAATGAATGAATAAATAAATCCGTAAATGGAACATCTGGGCAGCCTGCCCCAGTTTGCAGCCTTCCGTACATCTAAGCCTCACAACAACCTTAAATAGTACCAGTCATTTAAGTCTCAGATCACCTTAGGAAATAAACACTGTGTGTTTCATTAATTTTAAGACGTACATTTCCCCCCACACACTTCAAGTTCTGAAATGGGGCTGCATCTTCCAATGAATGGGCAGTGGATATTCTTTCTTACTGATGTATAAAATAATGCTATCTTTCTATCGACGTCATCTTAGATTTGATGAAATAAAATATTATCCCCATTTTATAGCTGAGTAACTGTAGGCACGTGAGGTTAAGCTGCTCGCTCAAAGCACGTAGGTGTCCCATAAATGTGCAAGGCTTTCGGCTCGGGCAGTCTGATGGGCTTGGGACCCAGGTCTCACGGGTAAGCTGCCTCCACGTTGACCCGCAAAGATCTTGCCTCCTGGTGTTCACGCCCTTGTGGGTCCCCTCCCTTGGGTGCCGACTGGACCTGGTGACTCGCCTTGGAGGAACAGTGATGGCAAAAGTGATGGGAGGTCACTTCTGAGGTTAAGTTCCCCAAAGACTCTGGCTTCTGCCCGCCTGCCATCTCTCACACTCTCTTGCCGGCTCCAACTGAAGCCAGCCCCCATGATATGAGTTGCCCTTGGGAACAGCCAACAATCAACAAGAAACTGAGACCCTCACGGCAACAACCTGCAAGGAAGCAGGTCCTGCCAACAACCTTGGAAGCAGATCCACCCCCAGTCAAACCTGGAGGTGACTAACAGCCTTCTGATTGAAGCCTGCAAGGGACCCTGAGCCAGAGGCCCCCGTTAAGCTGTGCCTGGATCCCAGACCCACAGAAACTCTGAGGTTATACATGAGTGCTGCCTTAAGCCACTAAGTTTTGGGGTATTCTGTTACACAGCAATAGACACGTAATAGTCTCCAATATTTAAGCCCAAGCATTTACTATGTCATGTCCTGGGGACAGAGATGAAAGAGATGTTGTCCTAGCCATCAAGGGACACCAGTGTGGCGGGGAAAGGCATCCTGGGGTGACTTCTGCTACTGTGTGTATTGGGTGGGCTGGACAGGGGACTGCCTCCCTAACCCAGGCTGAGGGGTTGGGCAGGCTTCCAGGGGAGCTGTCACCCAGCAGGGTCTGGAAAGGTAAGAACCCTCACCACCACCCCCGGTGACAAAGGCAGGGAGGCAGTGGGGAGGGAAGGAAAAGAACACATATTTTCTCCTGGTCCTCCACAGATTTACGGATCCGGGGAATTGTTGTAAGATTACACGCTTGGCAAGAGGGTATACGGCAGCTACAGGCGTGACACAAGAACGAGTGATTCACCCTGACACATCTCAGAGGCCCGTGAGGCATCAGCAAGCTCTTCCCAGCTCAGACTTGGACGAGCGAGGATTTGAGTTAACTGTGCCGGAGTGAAGGCGTTGAAGACTGTGTAATGGTTTTGTTGCTTTTTAACCAAGGTCAGGGTTGGCACATGGGTCAGGCATTAAACGTGTGGTCAGGGTTGGAATAATGGTCATAATCCACCTCTGGGACAGGCTGGGACAGAGGGTCAGGGTCCCTTTTCTCCATTCTCCTCTTCACACTGGCCCTGCCTTGGCTCCTCTGGCTGGGAGGTGAGCCTGACAGATATTAAGAGATCCTGAACCCAAGGAAGGCCTAGAAATTCTGAGAGAGGAAAAAAAGCAAGACCAGGCGCAGAGGAGTCTGGGGTGAGCCAAGAGTTGCAGCCAGCCCTTCCCTGACCCCAGACAGGGCACCTCGTGCGGCACCCCAGACACAGAGGAAGCAGGACGCCCAGCTTCCAGTCCCACCTCTGCCACCAACACCAGGACAGCAGAGCGGAGTGGTTGAAACACGGGCTCTAAAGCCAGTCTGACCAGGGCGGGGGTCCCAGCTCTGCCACTTACTGGGCATGCTTAATCTCTCTGAGCTTCAGTTTGCCCCATCTACAAAATGGGGATCTATAAAATGAAGATAATGATGCACACCTCATAGGACTGTCATGAGGTTTAAATGAAATATAGGAAGGAATTAGCTCCAGAACCAGTAAAAAATAAAAGCTCAAAAAATAGTGATTAAAACAAAAAGGAGTGTGTTTTTGTTTCTCAGATGTGGGAGCTCCCTTTAAACTCTCAAATTCTAGGATTCTGAGGATCGGCTGGCCCAGCCCAAGTACCTTTCTCTTTCCCCTGACTTGGGAGAAAGAGCTGCTGCTGGTAGTCTTGCCTTTAGAGGCGTCCACATTCATGATTTCATTTGATGTTCACAACAACCCATTTTACAGATGAGAAGACTGACCAAGAGGAAAAAGGATTTGCCTCAAATACTGAATGCCACCAACTCACTTTTACTGAGCGCTTGCTGCATGCCAAGCCCTTTGCTGGGCATAGCATCATCACATTTAGTCCTCACGACAACACGTGAGTTATCTGTCTCTGTTTTAGACAAGGAAACCAAGGGAGAAGGCACCCAGCGTCACGTAGCTGCTGGGGATGGAACCGAGGTTTACCCAGGAGCAGCTGGTCCTCAGAGCCTGAGCGCTTAACCCTATTCTGTGCTGGAAAGTTAGGGGCAGAGCTAGGCCTGGAAAAAACCCAAGTCTCCTAACTTCCAGCCTAGAACTATCCTGTTTCTTTTTTCTTTCTTTCTTTTTTTAAATTTCCAATTGTAGCAAAAAAAATACAGAAACATAAAATGTACCATCTTAGCCATTTTTACATGTACAGTTCAGTAGCGTTATATACGTTCACATTGTTGTACAACCAACCTCCAGAAGTTTCTCACCTTGCAAAACTGAAACTCTATAGCCATTAAGCAACTTGCCATTCCCCCCAGGCCCTGGCAACCACCATGCTCCCTTCTGTCTCTGTGAATTTGACAGTTCTAGGTTGGAGCTGTCCTGTTTCTTAAAAGCCTGTCTCTGTTTTGCTGTTGAGCCATCTGTTCTGTCAACGAAATGAGTCCGGACAGCCAGGACTACAGGAGTTCAGGGGAGGGCAAGATCTTTGGGGTGGGGTGGTCAGGGAAGGCTGCCTGGAGGAGGAAGAGGAGGGCAGGCCACCGAGGTCAAGCATCCCTGAGTCACCCACAACACCGCCTCTCCACCCGCCCTTTGGTTTACAACGGCCACCTCAGCAGCACCAACCTTTGTCCCCAAGTGAGCTCCTGTCAGGTGAGTGGAGGCACCAAGCCATCTCAGAAGGCCAGGGGCTTGCCAAGGGGCTGGAGCAGTCCTGTGCCTGCAGCCTCCAGAACCATGGGGACAGGGCTACGCAGCCAGTCCTTGCGAGGACCACGGCCCTCCTATAGCAAGCTCCAGGAGCCCTGCGGGAGGCCCCTGGCAGGCCAACTGCGCCGGGCGCTGAGCCTCAGACAGGGTTGTGAGAAGTCCAGGTCCTCAGACGGAGGCCCAGAAAGGCTGGACGCCCCCGGGCAGGAGCAACTGCCAGGGAGCCTGGGGGACACAGAGCAGCTGATCCAAGCCCAGCAAGAAGGCAGCCGGTGGTGGCTGAGGCAATATCAACAGGTTTGGCTGAGGGTTGGTGGATGGAGGAGTGCTAGAGGGGAGGGGGAGGTCCCCAGGAGCAGGACCCAGGGCAGCAAAGGCTCAGAGGCAGAAAGGTATGGGGCTGTAGATCAAAAAGATAACAGAGCTGTCTGGGGAAGGGGCTGGAGAGAGAGATATCCAAAAACTGTATTTCAGGGGGGCCTGAAGGCCTTTGGGATTTATCCCATAGGCACTGGGGAGTCAGGGAAGGTTTTAGAGCGGGTGGGTGATACGGTCAGAGCTGTTCCGAGATGATCAATCTGTCAGCGTGCTGGATGGGTGGATTTTGCTGGAGGCAAGAGATCAGCCAGTACAACTTCCCCAGGGTTACATCTTGTGCTCCCCTCTCCCCCGGAAAAGGGGGTGATCCGGCCCCCCTGGGTGGGAGCTGCCGGCTTCCTCTAGGAGGAAGGGTGGCTAGTGAGCCATGCGTCTGTCTCTGGGGTCTACCACCACCTCGTGGCTGTAGGTGGAACAGCACCTGAAGCCCACCACCCAGTCCAGAGACCTGGGCCCTGATCTCGGCCCCTCCTGTCTTGCAGAAGATAAGGAGAAGGTGGGAGAGCTTTGTCACCAGGTTCCCCAGCGTGACCCTGAGCCAGTCGGCCTCTCCACAGCCCTCGCTGGGCACCACCAGCTAAGGATGCTAGCAGCGGTGTGGGTCCTCGCTGCACCTGGAGGAGACGGCATGACCTACCTCTTCGTGGCCCTCTGGACTGTGAATGGAGTGACCTCCTCTGCGTGGACTGTTCCCCTTCCTTACGTGGCCCGTTGAGGCCTCTGTCACCAGGACAGAGCTCAGTGAAGCCAGACCCGTGGCTGAGAGCCTCTGGCGCATCACCTGGTCACAGGGCCCCAGCCGCCCTTCTTGCCAGCTGCTAGTGGTGGGCAGGGCATGGGCCTCCCTCCCAGAGGGTGAGCCCATCTCCAGGGCAAGGACTATGTCTTGTCGTGTATTGTCACTGTCCTCACAGCCTCCCCATGAAGGAAACAGAGGAAACCTTCCCTCCCTGTGCGAGAAAAACTGAGGCCCAGAGGCGGGAGGGGATTATTCTCTTTGGCATCTCTGGCCCCGCCCCTACCCAATGCCCAACACTGCGTTGAACACAGGAATAAAAGTTGCTGAACTGAAGTAAGTGGTTTTCCTATTGACTAACTCGCCCCCAGTCCTCTCCCAACCCCCTGGGGGCAGGTGGGGTCCAGAGCTTCCCAGATCATGGGGCAGAAGCACAAGGGGCAGGTCCCCAGGAGGCTGGGCGTCTCCTGGCACTTCTCTGGTTCTCCCTGTGCTGATCTCAAGCCAGCGTCAGAGGGCCTGGATCTCACCAGCTCCTTGCCTTTGTGCTTACCCCCATGAGACAGGACTTACCCAGAGGATCAGAGAGGGCAAGGGGCCCACCCAGGGCCACACAGAGGGGAGGGTGGGACCCCAAAGAGCCTGAGCTCTTTGAGAGACACTGGCACCTCATTTGGGGTCCCTGGGGCTCTCCCAGCTCAAGCAGACCCAAGGTCAAAGGTAAGGGAGCAGCTGCAAGCATCCTGGTGGAGGGTCTGTTCTGTGGTGGTAGGGGGACCTGAGGGCCCAATGGACAAAGGGGAGGTTCCCTATTTCCCCAGAGCCCAGGACCCTGGCAGAGCCATTCAGGAACAGGAGAGGTCCTGGGAAAATTTTGTCCCAGACAGTCACCGGGATGAGACCAGGACAAGACCAGGACGTCTGGCTTGGCACCTAGACTGTGGGAGATCCCTGGAAGCTTCCAACCCAATTAGTCACAAACTTTAGATGCCCCCTGCTCAGCCCCCTCTGCAGTAGCCCCTGCAGTAGCCACTGCGGTGGCTCTGGGAGATGCTAGGACTCCAGGGAACATAGTTTGAGTCCATGGCTCTGACAAACCCTCTTGAGGTCCAGAGGAGGAAACTGAGGCCCAGGTGGGGTCATCCTCTGGGTCTCTGCCCTCCAGGCTCATCCTGGCCTCTTTTGTCCCCAGGGATTCTCCAGCCCATCTCCTTGCTGGTCTCCTTCTACTTGTCACACTCTGTGACAAGTGTGTCCAGTCACAGGATGGCCAGTTCCACAGGGGCCTGGCTTGCTCACCACTGGGACCCCAGTGCCTCGCTCGGGGCCTGGCACATAGTAGGTAGTTGTTGAGTGAATGAGGGACTGGCCCAGGGTCAGCTAGTTGATGGCTGAGCTCCACTCGGGTGGAGCCTTTCCTACCTCAGCCTCGTCAGCAACACCATCATCAGGGAGCACATTTCCGGGGCCTCTAGCAGAGGCCTTCGCCAAAACACACACACACACTCTGTTAGCTTGTTTCCAAAGACAGCAGCAACCATCCCTCCCATGAAGCGTGCCCTTTGGCATTGTTGCCACATCTCCCAACAAGAGGGGTATTCTATGTATTCTACTTGCCCTTGAATCTGGGTAAGCCCTGAAACCTGCTTTGACCAATAGAATGCAGTAGAAATAATGTTCTGGGACTTCTGGGCCTAGGCCTTAAGAGACTTTGTACCAATAGCTTCTGTTTCTGCCCGCCTGGAAGCTGGCTGCTATGTAAAGGAGTCCAGGTGATTCTGCTAGTGTTGGAAGGTGGCACCCAAACAGATAGGTCCATGTTCTAATCCCCAGAGCCTATGAATTTTACCTTATTTGGAAAAAAGTCTTTGCAAGATATAATTTTTAAGGATCTTGAGATGAGAAAATCACCTTGGATTATCAGGGGGCTAAACCCAATAACAAGTATCCTGATAAGAGGGACACAAAAAGGGAAAGACAGAGGAGAAGGCGATGTGAAGTCAGAGCCAGAGATTGGAGTGATGCGGCCGTAAGCCCAGGATGCTAAGGATTGCTGACAGCACCTAGAAGCCAGGAGAGGAAGGAAGGACCCTCCCCTGGAAGCTGCAGAGGGAGCACGGCCCTGCCAGCACCTTGATTTCAGGCTTCTGGCCTCCGGAACCATGAGAGAATACATTTCTGTCGTTTCAAGCTACCAAGTTTCGGGGGTTGTTACAGCAGCCCCAGGACATTCAGACAGTGTGTTTGCGGCCAAGCTCGCACCAGGAGAAAGTGGGTGGAAGTGGCATGCCTGCTGCTCCAGGCCAAGGCGTGAAGCCTCCCTGCCCAGCTCTCCATGCTCCCCCTCTTCCCTCACCAGCTGGCCTGATGCAGAGGGTCCAAGGGGACCCTATCCAAGGCTAGGGGATGGCAGTGGCACTGAAGCAGAGCCCCCCTGCCACCCATTTGGACTGTGATATGGGTGCAAAATAGACCTTCATTGGGTTAAGCCATTGACTTGGGGGCTACTCGTTACAGCCACAAGCCTAGGGCAACTCATCCCACATCAGCATCGCGTGGAAACTCTGAGAGGGCAGGGCGATTCACTCACGGCCAACAGCTCACCTGAGACAGTGTTTGCCTCATCGTAGGTGCCCAGGACGCAGTTGTTGAATTACCGAAACAGAGACCTCAAGGATGAGTAGGAGTTAGCCTGGCCAGGGGAGGGGATGAATGTTTCAGGTGAGGGAGGGGCCTGGGCAGAGGCCTTGAGGCCAGAGGGAACGCGGTGCATCTGGAGGTGCAGACCATTCGAATGGGCGAGAATGCAGCAGATGCCCCTGGCTCAGCAAACGGTCCCCCTCCCCCGAAGTGCACTCTCCAAGCTTTGCCCATCCTGGTTTCGTCAGCATGGAAGACTTCACTCTCATGGTGTGGCAGCCCCTCAGACCCCAGAGGACATGGCCGATAGCGTGGACACTTGTGGGGGGATGTGGCTCCCCACCGAGGCCTCCCGACATTGGCGGTCAGTGTGGCCCAAGCACAGAGGGGACTCCTACGGAGCAAAAGCTCTGGAGGCTCTGAGTCTATCCACCCTCAGGCCAGTGTCTGCCACAGTTCCTATAAAGACATCCTTGATGAGTCAGTTTCATGCCTCTGTGTTCTCTTTCCACTGCCCACAGAGGACAGAGCCCCCCAGTCCTCTCCCGGGCCGTGGGGTCTCAAAGACTGCTCCTGGGGGTCTCAGAGCCCGGAGCTGGAGGGCCTGATTCCCTTCACCCCCACCCCCGGCTCCATTCTCTGTCCCGCTCCACATCCCGGCCACACGCAGCCTCTCTGTGCATGCTTCCAGAAATAGGAGGCTCACTGCTTATCAAGCTCTGATCTCTCGATGTGACCTCTGCCCTCATCGAGCTCACAGTCCTGCTGGAGAGGGTCACAGACAGACAGACAGACAGATGACAGGCTGCTCTGCTACAAAACAGAACGAGTAAGTGCTCACTGGGCAGCGTGGTGAGGAAGATTGAACAGGAGGTGCTGATTCCCAAACCAGTGTGACGCTCTGGGCTTGGCTGGACATCTTCCCCAGCTTCCTGAGGCCTGCAGCCATGCCAGATGGGAAGAGGCTGCGAACAGGTGGAAAAAAATATCCTGCAGGGGAAATGGGGCTGCTTGGCTGCACTAATGGGGAAAGCAACGGGGGCGAGCAGGGAACACTGTGTCCCCAGGCACCTTGTGAATTCAGGCTGGAAGGGCCCTCAGGGTCCAACAGATGCAGGCCATTTATTTTACAGATGAGGAAATTGAGGTTCCCACGGCAAGCAGGAGGCAAGGCTTGGGCTGCCCTCCAGAAGGCTTGGGCTGCCTCCCCGCTCAGAACTCTCTGCTCGCCTGCCCTGTAACCCCCTGATAACCCCATTCCTCAGGGTCACCAAACTCAGTGGGTCCAGCCAGTCGGGGGCCAGGGCCGGCCCAGGCCTGGGTATCAAACCTGGGACCCAAGCCCTTATCCAGCAGCTAACTTACTGTGTGACCTTGTGCCAGTCATTACCCTCCTCCGGTTTTCATTTTCTCCTCTGCAAAATGGGGGCCGTGATCTCTGTGTCTTCTCTGGACTGAAAGGCAGGTGAGGTGGCAGGTGTGCAATATCTTTGCAAACTGAGGTGTGCTGTGTCCTGACCGGGAGCGCCAGCATCGCCCCCCACCCCCATCACCCTCACGATCAGGCTGAGAGCAAAGGGAGTAAAACTCTGTGGCCGAATGCCCGGGTTCTGCCACTTACTTGCTGGGTGACCTTGGACAAGTTGCTTAACCTCTCTGTGCTTTGGTTTCCTCACCCGTTCAATCGAAATAATAACGGTCCCTCCTCACCCAAGTTAATGCATGGAAAGCACTAAGAACATTTAGCCCTGGGATCTTAGTAGTCAGTTCCAGGACGTTCTCCCTGCATGACCCTTCTCTGAGCCTCAGCAGTCTTTCTCTGGGAAATGGGGGTGTTAATAATAGCACCTGGCTCTAGGTGTCTTAGGGATGAGATGGGCCAAAGCACGCATGCGCTGAGTCCAGGGCCGGCCCACGGAAGCGCCCTATCAATGAGAGCCTCGGGAAACCTGGCCCTCAGAGCCTGCCATGTCCTCAGCTCACCTTGGCAGAGGTGGACCTTGGCAGGGTCGCAGGCGTCAGGATCCAGGAAAGTGGGCCCAGCCGCAGACCAGACGGCTGCCCTGGGGCCTCCCAGGGGGTGGTCTCTTTTAGTGCCAATGCTGGAATGGGCGTGGGAGGAAGGCCTCTCTCCTCACCCTACCCCACCCCCTACCGTGGCTGTCACTGAACCCTCCCTGCACCTACCGGCTGCCAGGCCCTGTCTCCCTTCTCTGAGCTCCAGGCACAAGCAAGCAGTCAATTCAACCAACGCTCAGCAAGTCTCAGTCAGAGCCCTGCTCCGTTGAGAACTTCAGAAAGGACGACATGCGTAGCCCTCCAGGCCCCTTGTGGTGACAGCCCTGTTGATGATCCAGTACTCCAGAGCTGGCTAGGGAGCAGAAGTGCCCAGAGAAGGGCAAGCTTAGCTCTTGGAAGGTGGGCATCACA